TCGGCTGCGGGGGTTGGGGGATGCTCAGCACCGTCACGGCAGTGCCCTCAGCTCGGCACGGGGGTGAGCAGCGTCCCGCATCCCCCAACACCTCACCTGCATCTCTGCGGAGCTTTACACGCTTCACTGCAGCTCAGCGTCCTTGTCCCTGCCTCACGGGTGGGGAAACTGAGGCACAGGGTGGGGAGGGAGCCCGGCAAGACTTGTGCTGTGTTGCTCAGCGCCTTGGTGGTGGGGAACGGGACTAAATCAGCCGTGCCCCAGGCTCTGCTGCCTCTGGGTGCCTGCGGTGGGGAGGGGCTCCTCAGGGGGTAGGAAAGGTGCAGGCAGCTCTCGCAGCCGGAGCCCAGCTCCCAGGGTGTCTCTGTTCCCAGGCTACAGCGTGAAGTGCGAGTACACGGCGCACAAGGAGGGGGTCCTGAAGGAGGAGATGCTCCTGGCCAGCGAGGCGGGCGAAGGCGCCTGTGTCAAGGTCGTGGTCCAAGCCCGTGTCATGGGTAAGGGTCTGCCAGCACTGGCGGGCAGCGGTGCGGGGGCCTCGCGCAGTTCCTTGGGTTTCGGAGCAGCGATTCCTTCCCCGGCACGGCCGGTGACAGGGAGCGGTCACGGGCCTGGCTGGAGACCCGCTGCTTTCTGGGGAGCCAAGGCTGCCCGTGTGCATGGTTGAGCCCCATGCGGACCCTGCTCCATCCTCCCTCCTCCCTCCATCCCCCAGACCCTGCTCCATCCTCCCCAGCACATCTCCCTCCTCCAGCTCTCCTGCTCCAGCCGCTGCAGGCGTTCCCCACCTGGTGGACATTTCTGTGAAGTTGTCTAAACTGGACGACTTTCACCCCAAAAATCCCCAGCCTGGGGGGGACGAGGCTGCGGGCCCTCCCGGGTGAAGGGGTGCACGGAGCAGGGCTGCAGCGGGGGGGTCGGGGGCACCTCCTGCCCCCCTCCTCACCCCAAGCCCAGCCCCGGGGGCCTGGCCGTGCCCGCTGGGGTCCCCCTCTCCTCCAGCCCACGGCTGCTTGTTAGGCAGCACAGCAGTCTTTTAATTTGTTTTAGATTGGGTTTTTTTTGGGGAGGGGTTCCCTCCCCCACCTTGCTGCCTAATTTGGGTTTGTTAATTAGAGCAGCGTTTCGTAGCTCGGCTTCCTCTGCTTCGTGGGACGCGGCGCCTGCTTTCACCGGCATCTCCCGTGCGGCCGGTCCCAGGGTCGCTGTGCCTGGTGGTGATGGCGGGGTGCGCGATGGCGGTTCGCCCCCCGGCATCCCCCCCGCTATCTCATTGTGTCCCCCACCCCATGTCCCGGCCTGGCCTCTGGCGCCCCATGCACTGTAGCACCCGAGCCTTGGCACGCCGGGGGCTGAGCACCGTCCCCGTGCAGCACCCTGAGGGCAGCGACCACGGCGGGGGGGCTGGGGGAAGGGCCTGCATCTCCCAGCCCCCTGGGTGCCGGCATCCCTTGTGTGGGGACCACGGGAGGGGGGATGAGCACCTGTGAGCCTGAAAACTCCCCGAAATGGCTCTCAAGGTGAAGCAAGCCCCCGGGGCCAGGCTGAGGCCTCACGTGGCTGCACCCCAGCTCGTGTCCCCATCCCCACTGTCCCCTCCTGTCCTGCAGACCGGCACCACGGCACGCCGATGCTCCTGGACGGGGTGCGCTGCATCGGCGCGGAGCTGGAGTACGACTCGGAGCAGAGCGACTGGCACGGCTTCGACTAGCCCCCCCCCGCCCCCCACTGCTGCCCGCGTGGCTCCCGAGGACGAAGCTCTAATTTAAAAAAGAAGAAACCGACCCAAACCCCCTCCGCAGGGGCTGTGGCTCTGCAGCCACCGTGGAGCTGGGGGTGAAAAAGGGATTGGGGGGGTCCCCAAAGCGCAGGAGGGGTTTCCCAAATGCCAGAACACCTCTGCTTGCAGCCTTGGGGAGGGATCCCGCTCGCTGCCTCCAGCTGCTTTTCCCCTCGCTTTTCTCCCCTCCC